CAGAAGCTCTGCGGAGCCAAGTCCATATGCACTAGCATTATCCTCAAGCTGCTAACTTTATTAAGGTCAAAGAATACCAGGAGATTTATCAGCTAGCATGCCTTTAAGTTTCTGGAAATGCTTGCTCTTATGCACTACACCAGCAATTTAGGTACATAAATTTTTCAACAGCTTATAAAGGGTGTAAGACATCACACATTAGGTTGGATTCTGGAGCTAGAAATTTTAATTACTTTGGATTCTTTTCAGGATATCAGGTTGAATACCCTATTTGGTTATTTGATGTCCCATGAACATTAAAGTGTCACTCTCCAACTCAATCTTGTCTTTGTTAAGCTGGATATTATTCTCTACAACATTTGGAGAAAACTTTCTAGGTTTGTATCAGGTCTCTGTCGTGTCAGCTCCATATATTATGACAATGTCAGCAATGCAGACAACTCCCCTTCAAACGTGCTAATGCCCTCAAGTAATCGCTTCTGAAAATTTCTTGAGACTACATTCAGCCCAAAAGGTAGGCAATAGCTATCTGAATCTACCATGGCATGTTTGGAATGGCCAAGTAACTAGAAGGAGTATCAGCCACACATGCCAATAACCAGATGTCAATCCTGTCTTTGAGAATACTTCTAGACTGGCCCAATTCATGAAGGGTGTTCTCAAGAATAGGAAGTGTATAATGTCCCCTCTGAAGGGCCTTATTCAGCTCTCTTGGGTCTATGCAAACACTGACTTTCCCATCCTCTTTGGGACTCAACAACTTGACTCACCCAAGGGGTTGGTTCATCTACACGTACAATTACACCCAGCTTGACTAGTCTCTCTAGTTCTGCCTTTAGTTTTGGCTTCATGGATATTGTCATGCGTCTGTCAGACATAATTACAGGTTTAATATTTGGGTCAACTTTGAGGGACTGTACACCAGGGAGGGTTCCTAGAGAGCCCTTCATAACATCCAAATACTCATCTTCTAGTCTGATATTGTACACTTGCTCAAAGTTGCCCTCCTGTACTTCCACCAGTCCCATCTGTTGACGTGCATCCCTAAAAGTGGTGTAAGATTCTCTTTAAAGACAATGAAATCAATCGGACATTTCTGACTAGTTACAGGGTTGTACAAATTCCAAGTGAATATACCAACTGGAACCAGACTGCCTTGGTTCCAGGTCTTAAGGACTCTATTTGTAAGTTTGACATGATTGGCAAAACTGAGGGGTAGAGTATTCACAGTAGAACCAGTGTCAATATGAAATCTATCCCTATACCCCCTAAAACCATCTTACACATAGCTTCCTTGTGATTGTTGTCATGTGATCTACTGTAGGTTTAGAAGACACTGAATGAATAAAGTCAGTAGCTGCCTCTGATGAGGAAGATCCAGACTCAGATGTGTCACAGTCAGTGTCACATACAATATACATCTTATGCCTTCTCTTATTATTTACCTCTATTTTGATTAGACTGAATTTTCTGTGATTTTCACACATTATCAAAATAATTACTGAGACCAGATGATACACACTTTTTGTCATATGCCGGGGATTTCTCTTTTACGAGAGCATGTTTATAACCGTAAGACTTGCAATTCTTTCTTAGGTTTCTCATATATCACTTTGCCTCTGTCATTCCTCTCCTTATAACCTCTGTTCTCCTGTGTTACCTAATTTACTGTGTCTGGTCTTATCATTCTGTTCTGAGCTGTTGCATTTTCAGCTGCCTTACATATGTCGATACATTTCTCCAGTGTGAGGTCTCACACTTTATGCAGTTCAGTTTGCAAACTTGAGTTGTTTAATACCCAAGACAAAATATGATCCCTGACCATTGACAGCAAGCAGCTGTTACAGTAAGCACAAGTTTTTACAATAGACCTCAGATTAGAGTAGAACTGCTCAAAAGTTTCACCTTCATCCTGGTTTTTATTGTTAAAGACAAACCTTTCATATGTCTTATTTACTTTTCCAATGGAATACTCTACAAATTTCTCAATAATCTCCTTGACAGTTCTCTCTGACTTCTCAGTTGTACACTTTAAGGGTGTCATCAGCCTGCACATGCTTGAACAAAGCTACCTGTACCACGTTGCCATGCTTGTCCAATTGAGAAAGCACTGCATAGTTCTTCCACCTCTGCTTGAAAATCTTCCAATTCTAGGCTACGTTGGAACCAAGTGACAGTGGTTGTGGTGGCTTGATACCAGGTATAGGGCAGCAGTTACGGTAGGTGAACACAGCACTCACAGCAGGTAGGTGAACACACCAGCATTAGCAGGTAAGTGAACACAGCAGTCATAGTAGGTAGGTGAACACAGCAGTCACAGCAGGTAGGTGAACACAAAAGTCGTCGCCACTGCATTTCGTCCTCTCAGCCTTCCCTTACCAGAAAATAGTGGTTCAAACCTCTGCTGCAGCGCTTCCTATAATTATCAGCACTTCTTATTCGGCCTGACACCTCTCCATCATGTATTCCACCTGTTGCCACCATGTTACGTGACGAGCAGGCATGTCACTGGGAATGACATGCCATGTGCCTCCCCCTCAATAATAACAAAAGAACATTGGGATGCGCAGCACGCTTCATTTAACTTATATCACGTAACAGTGAACACCAAGCTGTAACTGCAACACTGTGTCTCAACTTGCCAATGAGCAGTCACCATCCACCCAGCTTCTCCCTCAGATGTGACGTCACAGCATAATAACACACACACACACACACACACACACACACACACACACACACATACACACACACACACACACACACACATATATATCATGGACAAAGTTGGGCCTTTAAAGTCAGGGAGGGGAGAAGTGATAAATGGCAGTGCAGAAATAAGCAAAGCATTGAACAGCTACTTCTTATCAGTTTTCACAGAACAAATTTGCGATGAAATTCCAGAGGTGGAACTGATATTTAAGGGAAAGGAAGAAGAGAAATTAAAGAATATCACTATCAGAAAAGAGGATGTTCTTAAGAATATAAATAAACTAAAGAAAACAAAATCCCCAGAGCCGGTTGAAATTTTCCCTCGAGTCTTGAAAGAGTGTAGGGAACAGATTAGCGGACCCCTCGTAAACTTATTTACAAAATCATTAGACACCGGAGTTGTGCCAGACTTGTGGAAACAGGCAAATGTAGTACCCATATTCAAAAAGGGAGACAGAGCATCAGCGTCAAATTACCGCCCGATCAGTTTGACGTCAGTAGTGGGGAAATTTCTTGAATCAATTATAGCAGATAGCATCCGATCGCATCTAGAGAAAAGCAAATTAATCTACGACTCTCAACATAGGTTTACAAAGGGAAAATCTTGTCTGACAAATCTGCTGACGTTTTTTAGGAAAGTCTTCGAGGTAGTAGATAATGAAGAAAATTACGATGTTATTTACTTAGACTTTAGCAAAGCATTTGACAGAGTACCGCATCAGAGGCTTCTGAGAAAAATTAAGGCTCATGTTATCGAGGGGAAAGTTTTAAATTGGATAAAATCATGGTTCACCGATAGAACGCAGAGGGTCAGCGTAGATGGTGTTAAATCTGAGTGGGACCGTGTAACCAGTCGGGTTCCCCAGGGGTCAGTACTAGGGCCACTCTTGTTCATAATCTACATAAACGATCTTGATACTGGGATCAGCAGTGACATAAGCACGTTTGCGGATGACACCAAAATAGGGCGGCAGATTAATTCAGGGCAGGATGCAAATGCATTACAGGAGGATCTAAATAAACTGCAGGGGTGGTCTGAAAAATGGCAAATGAAATTCAACACCAGCAAGTGCAGCGTACTTAATATTGGAAGAACAAATAGTGATAATGTATACAGCCTTAACAACATCAACCTAGAGAAGTCGACTTGTGAAAAAGACCTAGGGGTACTTGTAAGCCCGGACCTACAGCCTAGAAAACAGTGCGTTAATGTTCAAAATAAGGCAAACAGAGTATTGGGTTTTATATCTAGAAGTGTAAGTAACAAGAGTGCAGAGGTCTTTTTGCAACTATATCTTGCGCTAGTCAGGCCGCACCTCGATTATGCGGTTCAGTTCTGGTGCCCCTATTATAGAATGGATATAAATTCACTGGAGTCGGTGCAGCGAAGAATGACGAAAATGATTCCGGGGACTTAGAAACCTTCCATATCAGGATAGGGTTAAAGAAACTTAACTTGCATTCCCTAGGAAAGACGAAGAGTGCGGGAGATATGATAGAAGTATTTAAGTGGGTGAAAGGAATCAATAAGGATATAGATAAAGTTCTATAATATCCGAGCAGGATAGACCTGAGCAACGGATCTCAAGTTGATAAGTTTAGGTTTAGGAGGAGATAGGAAGAAACTGGTTCACAAATAGGGTGGTGGACGAGTGGAACAAGCTTAGCAACTTTGTAGTAAGTGCGGGAACTCTGGAAAGTTTCAAAAGGAGGCTAGATAGAATCATGGATGATAGAGAGTGGTAGTAACTCTCGACAGGAGCTGCCATGCACAGGCCAACCGGCCTATTGCAGACTCCTTATTTTCTTATGTTCTTATCTCGGAGTCAGCTGGTGACTGCCCAGCTGATTTGTGCCGCATTGCCCAGAGGATGGTTTAAGTGTGGAAGGAGCTATTTTTGTACTTCCAGTAATAATAAAGTAAATAGAAGTAATAAATAAATGTAGTTTCATTCCATGTAACAACGGCTACATACTCTCTAACAGGCCACCTCGTCCCCCTGTTTTTTTCCTCTTCCCAGTCAGTTAAGCTATCACTAAACTGAATTTTGACCTAACATTAAGTGAGAGAGGGTGTCAAAATTTTATATCGCTAAACCAAATTAACTTTAAGCGAAATAACGCTAAACAAAGGATACCTGTAATATTATGTGATATTGCATCACAATTCTCAGTCTCACTCCCGCATTATATCAAGGGTCTTCTGTACCATCGTCATATCTAAAGGTTGATATAATATTCACAGTTGCAAATGTGAATTTGTTGAACATAGATGAGTCAAAACTTACCAAAATACCACTGAATGTACCACCAGTTGGTGGACCAGGGGGGCCAGGGGGACCACGCTCTCCTTTTATGCCAATTCCAGTAGGTCCTGGAGGACCAGCAGGGCCTGGGGTACCCTTTAGGATATGAAAATAAAACAAAAAGTAAATAAACATATATATATTTATATATATATATATATATATATATATATATATATATATATATATATATATATATATATATATATATATATATATATATATATATATATATATATATGGTAGAATTTAAGCCTCAGAACCGATTAATGTATTACGGACTGATACTAAAGCTGGTTGCCCGTCAGTGCAAGCAAAAACATGTTGAGGATCGGTTCGTAAGAAGTTGTAAATTTTTTTCGTTAAATCTAATTGAAGATCCTGGAAGGCAAGTTCGTTAATCGAAATTACGTTAACCGATAGTTCATAAACGAGGGTCACTGTATATATATATATATATATATATATATATATATATATATATATATATATATATAACGAAAGCTAAGGTGCTCCATTGTTTTTTCCTGTGATTTTATCAATATATATATATATATATATATATATATATATATATATATATATATATATATATATATATATATATATATATATATATATATATATATATATATATATATATATATATATATATATTACAGTTGAAAATTAAGATATTTCATCACCTAACTTAACATATGATCATCTGAAAATGTCAGCATTGAAATTTGAGACATTGATATTGTTTCAGTTCTGCAGTTAAGAATATATTTTAATCTGGTTTCTGTATCACTGGCAAATGAATTCAGTGTTCATTAATAGTTTGAATATAAATACATAAAGCTCATTATAGAAATTAGTAAGTAATTTTAAATGAGTGAATTAGGTCTACTTAACATGAGGTGGTAAATGTGCAATAACATTAAAAAATATTACCACTAATACTTACAATTTCTGTCACATTCTGATCACAGCACAAAGCAAAGACAATATATCTGTATTATATTTTATTTTGATCAATGAAAAGGTCCTTATAATATAATTTCATATCATTTATAATACATATTTCTGTGAAGAAAAATATTCACTAGGCTCACCACATTCAAAAAAGGAGTGAAATAATGTACAAATACTGCATTTTAACACATGCTGAAAAACAACCCAATCACATAACAGTATATTAGCCAATTGTAGTAGTTGAATGATGGGTGCGCCAAGTCCAGAGACTTGCGATTAGAGCTCATGAGCACTCTGAACCTACCCACCCACATGTTGGACACATGATGCAATCGCTTGGAAATTCATTCAATGCCCAGAATGGGGTGATTTTTCTGGGAATTTTTCTGAATGCTAAAATTCTATTTTCCGTATGGAAAGTTCTGAATCGAAGATTCCAGCTGATGGCGCCGTGAACCTCATTGGGAAATATAACAGAGTCTAGAACTGCTTTTAGTGTCCTTGTGGCCTAGCCGGTAAGCGTTCCCTAGTCCCACCCAGTAGGTCGAGGGTTCGATTCCTTGCTGGTGAGGTCGTTGATTATATGTTCAAAGTCCGCGTGTTATATGGACTAAAAATGAATTATATATATGTACCTCGCGTTTCATACCAGCTGGATTCGGTAAAATGCTACTGACACCCCATACGAGGCACGGACAGTTTCCCAATGAGGTTCACGGCGCCATCAGCTCGATGAACAGGCTTTGTGTGAAATATAACAGAGTCTAGAACTGCTTTTAGTGTCCTTGTGGCCTAGCCGGTAAGCGTTCCCTAGTCCCACCCAGTAGTTTGAGGGTTCGATTCCTTGCTGGTGAGGTCGTTGATTATATGTTCAAAGTCCGCGTGTTATATGGACTAAAAATGAAGTATATATATGTACCTCGCGTTTCATACCAGCTGGATTCGGTAAAATGCTACTGACACCACATAAGAGGCACGGGCAGTTTCCCAATGAGGTTCACGGCGCCATCAGCTCGATGAACAGGCTTTGTGTGAAATATAACAGAGTCTAGAACTGCTTTTAGTGTCCTTGTGGCCTAGCCAGTAAGCGTTCCCTAGTCCCACCCAGTAGGTCGAGGGTTTGATTCCGTGCTGGTGAGGTCGTTAACCAAAAAGTTCGTTAACCGAAACCATTGTTTCAATGGGTTTTTGGGTAATTGGTTCTAGCTCACCGAAAATTTCCTAAATTCAACAAAAATGGTAGAAAAATTCACTTACTTTGAGGTGTGTATGTAGAAGGCTCCTGGATGATGATGATGATGATGGGAATTACAATGGGGGTGGAGGAGAAGGAAGAAGAGAAGGCATTGGGGTGGAAGAGAAGTCACCCTATGGCACCATTTCACCCATAAAATTTTAGTTCTCTTGGTGTGTTTCAAGATTATTTTCTTTAAATCAACACTGCACTGCATTATATATTGTCAATATGTAAAATATATTTCAAAATGACCAATAATTTGCTTGGAAACACAGAAAAAAAGCGTTTAGTTGAAGAGAGTCTCAAGCAAGATGTTACCTCCAGTGAAAACAGAGAGACTAACGCCTGTTTGCTGTGTTAAGAGGCTGGATGCTGCGCTTTAAACTAGTCACTTTACCTTCAATTATGTTCAATAATTGTTAAAATGACTAAAAAATTGAATATTAAACTTTTAAAATTATTGAATAGTATAAACTTCTTGATATTTACTAAAATAGTTAGGAATTTAAGCCCTAGAACCGATTAATGTATTGGCGGACTGATACTAAAGCTGGTTGCCCGGCCAGTGCAAGCGAAAACATGTTGAGATCTGAAAATGGTCCTCACGTCAGTACTTACCGGCCATCCTGGGAGACCAAGGTCCCCAATGGTTCCTGGAGGACCAGCAGGGCCCCGTTTCCCTCGCTTGCCTCTTTTGCCACGGTCGCCTTTATCACCCTGCAAGAGGTTAGTACCAGTGAGTCCTGAAGACCGGCTCCCTAAACCTGAGAAGCTCATCCTTGACCCTGTATCTTTTACTTGCTGAGAGCTGTTCACACTTGGGGGAAGTGATCACCTCCTTAAAAGCATTTTATCCCTCAAGAGTAAAAAAAATGCTTACAGGATATTGATAAACTAGATATTAATAAACTACATGTATTTTTTTTCCTTTCATCTCTGACTTTATTTCAGAATTCTTTTAACTCAATTTCAATTTCAATTCATCTCAGAAGATTCACTGTACGAGTTTAAAATTTTTTAAGTTATTAATATAGGATGTCAATTTTAGAGACACTGCACAGGTCTCCTCTTGTAAGTAAGTTCTGCAAAGATTGATTGCAATGTTGTCTTTCTCCCCCCCGCCCCTTTTGTGGAACACCCTCCCGTGTCATGTTAGTGGTGAGTTACTGCGCATCAACTGCTAAAGACAGGCCAAGAGAGAGTTTGAAGTGGTGATGTACAAATATTCAGTAATTTCCCAATTATAATTAAAAAGGGCTACTGTATTTATATAATGTACTTAATTCTGGGGAGTCCATTAGATATAATCATCAATGTTTTTTCTAAACAGTACAGGAAAAAAATGGAACAAATCATCATAAAATTAATACAGAGTATAGTGGGTTGTAAGACACAGTTATAATTAGTAAAAATGAAAATGGGACCAGGATATAATAATGCACATTTATATCTTACTATGGAAAGTAAAAAGGTACAGAATGATATTACTCACTATAACATCTAGTCTTTAATCACAAAAAATATATTAACCCTAACCAAGCAAAGAATCAACTGAGGTGGAATGGGCTTCTTATCTTGTAACGTGTGGTGATTAATACCCTGAGCAGTAGTCACTGTTTTGGAGAAAATGTTTTGATTGGCAAAGAAAAATAATAAATTACAATAGATTTCAAATTAGATTCAGCTTGAAAAGCACAGCAGTAAAAACTAGTCAAAAGCTGAGTGAACAGTGTCTGCTGGTGAGTACAGTATATACAGTATAGTAGTACAGTAGTATACATTATCTTGTTTACAGTATGAACAATATTATATGTGTACACTGGTGTTTGTGTAAATAAAAACACCTCCTACCAGTTGCATTGTTTAGACTCGTTGATTAACGTCCGTACGGCAGACACCCAGCTCTTCAGAGGTAGTTAAGCAGCAACCATTTCTGAACTCTTACATTGCCATACCCCCAACAGGTATTTATAACTCTGCAAATACTTAATACAAATGAAGATTTATAGATAACTATCTTTTTACAATTGTGTCTGTTAATATCACTGGTAAATATATGTAAATTTCTTCATTTATTTTTACTCAGTTACATGCACACACTATCCTACATACAGTTGTGTTCTGACCTCACTAGGGGAAAGGTCACGGCAGGGTTAGCTCCGGAGGGATAATTATCAGATATGGCCAGTGCTATGTGCGGTCTTGGGTATGAGAGTTTGTTGACCAAACTGGAGTGGTCCATGGAAAAATTGGCCAAGGCCAATGAAGAAATTGAGAGGGCCACGTTGGAGAACCTGAAATTAAAAGAAGAGCTGGCGAAGTTAAAAGGGGAGGCTGGACGAGTAAAGCCAGTGTCTGACGAAAACTCAAGCGAGTGGAAAGTTGTGAGTAGTGGAAAGACGAAGCTGGTGGTGATGAAGTACACCAAGGATACGACAACAACGACAACAACAGCTAAGTGTACCAACCCGTTCAGTCCCTTGATAGACGAATTGGACGTTAGTACAGTCTGGGACAGGGATGACAAGGAAGGTATAAAAACTTTAATTGTTGGTGACTCACAGGTAAGGTACATGGACAGGGCCTTTTGTGGTAAAAACAAAAATAGGATGAGGGTGTGTTTGCCAGGAGCTGGGGTGGGGGATATAGTTGACAGGATGGACAATATCTTGTCTGGTAATGGGAACAAACCCATTATCTGCCTCAGTGCAGGAGGCAATGATATTGGCCGGTGTAGGAGCGAGGAGTTTCTTGATAAGTTCAAGACAGCTATAGATCGTATTAGGACTAAGGGAGGGATCCCTATCATATGCGGTGTCCTGCCTAGAAGGACAGTTGGCAGTGAATGGTTGTCAAGGGCGGTTGGTGTCAACGACCGTCTTGACAGATATTGCAAGTCAATATCAGTCCCATTCATTGACAACTGGGACAACTTCTTTGGCAGAAGGGACCTTTATGCTAGGGATGGGGTGCACCTGTCTAGGGATGGAGTAGCAACCCTGGCTGGGGCTCTAGAGGGGGCAGTTCAAAAGATATCGAAGTCTTTAAACTGCTAGGAGAACATATGAGCACGGGGGTGGAGGAGACTGCAGTGGGAGCGGGTAAACAAAGTGAAAGATTACAGGGAAATAGTGTTAGGAATGATGACAAAACTAAATTAGACAGGGAGTTTAAAACTAAACGCGGTAAGGGGAGGACTCAGAACACGACTAACTTAAATGTATACTACGCGAACAGTAGAAGTATGAGAAACAAAATGGATGATATTAGGGCCTTGGTATGTACCGAAAAAATCGATATAATTGCATTCACTGAAACATGGATCAACCTAGACACACGTGAGTTACCAGTCGAATACCAAATTGCGGGTTACAAACTGTTCCATACCGATAGGCAGACCAGGAAAGGAGGCGGAGTAGCAATCTATGTTAGGGATAATCTGAAGTGTGAAATAAATAAGGAAATAAAAACTGAGAGGAATACAGAAACAATTTGGATAGAATAAATCGACGGTAGAGAAAAATTAATCACAGGAGTAATATATAGACCTCCCAATCTTGATAGAGTCAAAGAGCGACTTATCTGGGATGAAATGCGCAGGGCTTCCATACACAACAAAGTCTGTATAGTAGGCGACTTTAACCTTGGCCAAATAGATTGGACTGACCTTACAGGAAACTCAGAATCAGAGGATTTTCTCGAGACTATCCAGGACTGTTTTCTAAGTCAACATATAACCGAACCCACACGGGGTAATAATATACTCGATTTAGTTCTGTCAAACAGAGAAAACCTCATTAGCAGGGTCGAGGTAGGGAACGAATTTGCAAACAGCGATCACAAAGAAATTAGATTCCAGTTAGATTTTCAGGGCAGACGTAAGGAAAATTCCACTAAAGTACCAGATTTCAGAAGGGCGAACTTTGACAGTTTAAAGAGGCAGCTGAGAGAGGGGGTGTCGCGCTTGGCCGTGAACCTGTCAGATGACACCAACCTGATAACGAGATCTGAGATTGCCGAGTTCCACGACAATTTAAATAGTGAGTTAATTAATGCACAAAGGAAGAACATACCATACAAAAAACTCAGATCAGACAACAACGACCCTAAATGGATAAATAATTATTTAAAGAACATCATTGGCCAAAGGAAAGCTATAGGTAGAAGGATAAATCGTGGCGAAATTCACCTCCGGGACTATTATAGGGTATTGGCGAGTAGGGTTAAAACCGAGATAAGGAAAGCAAAGAGAAATAATGAGGTAAGGATAGCAAAGGAGGCGAAGACAAACCCCAAAGGATTCTACCAAATGTATCTACCAAATGTAACGACAGAGAAATGAGCAATAATTTGAATAAATATTTTTCAACAGTTTTCACCACCGAAAATTTAAACATGATACCCGAGGCACCGACTCGATTCAGAGATAGTGAAGAAAACAAATTAAGTGAGATAGTAGTGACTAGTAACGATGTTAGTAAGCAAATAGACAAACTAAAGCCTAATAAGTCACCTGGTCCCGATGAGATATTTGCCAGAGTATTAAAGGAATGTAAGGAAGAGCTTAGTATGCCCTTAGCAAAGTTGTTTAACATGTCCTTAAAAACAGGTGTAGTACCAGAATCCTGGAGGGTAGCGAATGTAATACCGATTTTCAAGAAGGGGGATAGATCACTATCCTCTAACTATCACCCAATCAGTCTAACATCAATAGTAGGCAAATTACTGGAAGCATTCATCTCAAACTCTATTTGAAATCACCTGGAGAAGAACCGATTGATCAATGATTCCCAGCATGGCTTCACAAGCGGACGTTCTTGCCTAACTAATCTATTAACATTCTTTTCATCAGTTTTCGAATCGGTGGACGAGGGGCACAATTATGATGTGGTATATTTCGACTTTAGCAAAACCTTCGACAGAGTCCCCCAGAAAAGACTAATTAGAAAGGTAGAAGCACATGGCATCAAAGGTGACATCCTTAAATGGATTGGGGCGTGGTTACAGGACAGGAAACAGCGAGTGAGCATTAACGGCACTAAGTCCCATTGGAGCAACGTCACAAGTGGAGTTCCCCAAGGCTCAGTACTTGGACCATTATTATTTATTATATACATAAACGACATAGATATCGGCATAGACAGCAACATTAGTAAATTTGCTGATGATACTAAAATAGGGCGTGTTATTAAATCTGACGAGGACTCGGCAAAACTACAAGAAGATCTAAACAAATTTTTCGAATGGTCTGAAAAAAGGCAGACGAAATTCAACGTCGACAAGTGTAAAGTACTCAGTATAGGAGATGTAAACAGGGAAACCAGATACCAGATGAACAACGATGCCATAGAGAAATCCGACTGCGAGAGAGATTTAGGAGTAATGGTAAGTAGGAACCTTAAACCAAGTAAACAATGTGCTTTTGCTCGTAACAAGGCTAATAAAGTACTTGGGTTCATACAAAGGAGTGTTAGTTACAAGACTAGCGAGGTCATCCTAAAAGTGTATCTTGCTCTTGTGAGACCACACCTGGACTACGCAGTTCAGTTCTGGTCACCGCATTACAGAATGGATATAGAATCCTTGGAAAGAATTCAGAGGAGAATGACAAGGCTAATCCCGGGCATTAGGAACCTTGAGTATAGAGACAGGCTAAAGCATCTTAATTTGCACTCCCTCGAGAGACGTAGAGCGAGGGGCGAACTGAAAGAGGTGTA